TATATTTATATATAAAAAATTACATTGGCTGTATGTGAAACCTCGAGGTGCTGAAGAATAAAACAAAGGTGTTAAACAGAGGGAAAACTTCTTTTTGTTTTTTGGTTGGTTTTGTGGTGTTTTTTTTTAAATAAGCAGCTCTGTACAATGAAGGCTCATTATGAAAAAAAAAGTCAACAGCATAGTTTATAAAAGAAACCACAATTTTTAAAAAATCATCTTCTAAGCAACTGTGGGATTGAAAAATGTAGCAGTCACATTTACAGACAGGTCAGAGCTATCGGATCAAGAACAATGCGATTTTTTCAGTCTCCCCAGAGGAACATGCAGAACAATGCGTGCACAGACCAGGTGGGGGAGGGAGGGGAGGGCGGAGGAGAGGGGAAAAGAAAAGAAAAAGAAAAGAAAAAGCTGATGCACAAAATGGAGGGAGAGCTTTTTTCTCATTTTGAAATATTGGACGTAAACAGAAAACAACCGAGGCAACTTTTAAAGTCTGCAGAGCTTTGCGAACACCTGCATTGGCAAAAATAAACGACGCCTTTTCCCCATCTCCCATATTTAAACCTGACACTGCTTAAAAGACCAAAAAAAGTTTCCAGACTTTGGAAGGAAATGTGACTTTTATTAATCCCTGCACCCCCTCCCCCAATAACCACGTCCCCCCTCAATAGATATTTTCCTTCCTATTTGATAACGTTTTGAGGCATTTTGAAATCAAAAAGACAACGCGACAAATGTGACAGAGAGGGAGTATAATACAGTATGCATTACTGAAAGGCAATTCTTCAAGGAGGACATTTCCTTTAAAAAAAAACAACAACAAGACAGCAAACTAGTTTATACAGTACTATACGCAAAAAAGGGTAAAAGAATTAACAATTCATAAATAAAAGACAGGTCCCAGACCCGTTATTTGTGAACCATTTTCTTAAATAGGTGCATTATGTAAATCTTATGTACAACAAAATTACTTTGCATAACAACTGCAAGGACATGGGGGGAGGTGAAAATCATATTGGTTTTGGTATTCTTCTCTTGAGATTTTTGTAAGTTTGATTTTCTGGAGCAAAACTGGTGAAAGCGGAGTTCTGACTGGATGGGTGCCAGCCAAGGAAACCCAGGTAAATAATGACAAACGATTTTTTTTTTTTTTCTCCACACAGCATAAAACACAATGCAAATAAAATCCACAAAGGTGTCTTTTTTCCTCTTTATAATCCTCTTGCTGCTACAAAGTCCTTCGTTTGTTTGTTTGGTTTTTTCCTTTTCATTTTCAATTGATTCCAAAATCACAAAGCTGAAAGAATTCGGCTCCAGCCGGGTCCAGGCTCGCCCCGTTTGCCCCGGACACACACAACGCCACTGCTCTACCCCACAACCACGACTCCTACCACCAAGTCCCAGGACTCACTGCTCTACAGGTATTAGCCAAAAGTTATTTTCTGGTTTTTGTTTTTTCTCTGTTTGTTTTAAAAACCTTCTCCTTCTCATGAGAAGCAAAAGAGAAGAGTCGGACGCAGGGAGAGTTCACCACGCTTCGGTGTAGCGGACGTCCACTTCTTTCAGATTGGGTAGCTTAGCCTAGGTAAGAAAAGGTCAGAATTAATGACACATGTTCAGGACTCAGGAAAAAAGTTCCCGTGAAATCTGTACCGTCAGCAAACTGGGAAGACTGATCTTTCGGCCACAAACTGCAGGAAGATGTGTTACGACCTCGACCCCGCAGAGTGCCCGTGCCGAGGGCAGCGCTGAGCGGGAGCTCCCAGGTGTCGGCGAAGGAGCAGGACGTTGAGCCTGACAGACACACGAGGCTAAGTCACACCTGCAGCAAAATCAGCCGGCTCCAGCGAAACCCACACACCAGCCGTCAGGTCCAGATCACAGAATCACAGACCCCAATCTCCATTTTTTATACAAATGCACGGCAAAACGTGTTTGTCGAACTGTAGGCGTGGATGCAGGGGACTCAAACTGCAGGAGACAGCCACACGTTCCCCCTCCAGCCTGAGGGCTAAGTCAGTGCTTGACTTTCCCCTCCACAAATTAAAAAAAACCCCAAAAACCAGAAAAGGAGAGTGTTAGCAATTTCTGGTGTCTTTGTGGTCTCCTTCCCATAACCCCATTGCATTTGGACGTATTGTTCCTGAATTACCCTGCGCGAGGCAGAGGGGAATCGGCTGTTTGCACCGATCCTACTTGTCGATCCCATTTCCATGCTCTCTGACCATAATTGTACAGTTAATTCTCTCAAAACAAATAAACACGTTTAATTAGGCTAGAGCATAATTGAGGAGTTGGAAGTTTCTAGGAGTCATTATTACCTCACTCCTTGATTTATGTGCACACATATTTTGATAAGAGCTAGTCATAATCCTACAGACGCTGCCAGCAAATAATTTTTCAGTTAGGCAATAATGACTTCAGTAGTGGGTGTTTATTTATTGTCTGGTTCAGCCTGCCTGGTACATATGTGGGTGTCTGTGTGTGCAAGTGTGTTTAGTGGGGTGGGGGATGGAGCCGAGAGGAAATGTCATCGCTGGCTTGTGCCCCAAATGCTCTCGCAGACCAAGGGCAGAAGAAGGAATGATTTTTATCAAAAATACATTCTTTGAAGTCTGAGCTGTTCTCCACAGACCTACAACCGTGTGCCCCAGGGAAAGAAACTATTACCCTCCCTCTGAACACACACAGAGCTCTAAAAAAATGGCCACCGAGATAAATCTCAGTGAAAGGTGAGAGGGGAAAAAGTGACGTGTGCCTGTTTTCTCAGCTTTTTTAATTCTCTGCAATCATCGGGCCGTTGCTCACAGCCAGTTTTCTGTTTGCCCTGGCAAGTCGCTTTCTGGTGTTGCTGCTGAGGACTGTTAATGCAATACCTGAGGAGAGGGAACCAGCTAGGAAAATACGAGTTTCGGTATGAAATTAGTGGCAAAGGGGCTGAGAAGCAGGGGCAGGACTGGGGGAACCTTTCAATAGGCTCGATTTTAGAGCCCTGGGCCAAATACAGCACTGACCTCGATCGTCTGTAAAGGCTTGGGGCCCAATACAAGCTCCATTGTGCGAACCCATCTGCAAGCCAGCTGTTAATTTCGAGGACAACTTCTTTGCATATACAATTGCGACACGAGTTTTGAAAACTTGATCTTGAAATATCCATTCTAGCAGCAATGCAAGCAAGTCCCTGGGGGAGCCTTAGCTCCAGAGCCAGAACCGAAGATGTACGTTTGCAGTGAATTTTGAAAACAGAGCAGTTTCAGGACTTGCCTCAAGTTCAGAACTAGACCCAAGGTTGTGACCTTTTTGAGTAAACCCGGCACAATCTAAGGTTTCAACACACAAGACAACGTAATGTTGAGTTTTGTCTTCAGCGCTTGGGTTTCTAAGGTAAGATAGTGGGAGATGCGACTCATGCAACACCAGAGTGAAGGCAAAGCCCGTGTGAAGCCAGGCAAGCCAACACACCTCAGGCAGTCTTTGTCTGGAACCACCTGGCGCTGTTCACCTCCTACAGCTACATCCTAGTTCTTTACGCCGTTTTGCCAAAGGGGTTGTAAATCCACATTACAAGTCGTGACGCCACACATCTCACCCATCAAACCCGGGAACTGGGCGTTTGTGCTGGTGTCCCTTTTGAAAGCCCAGTTCCAGCCCAAGAGGTGTCAAGATAAACTTGCACCTTCCTTAATGCTTCCAGTTCTCCCTCTGCCTTCTGAACCAAAGCTCTGGAATGCCATTCACCCACAATACTTCTGGTCCTGCGGACCTGGCTTTGGAGGTGTGCGCTACATTTTACCTGATTCTGTATCCTCAGAAACAACCAATCTGCTCCTATTTATGAAACCTTTACTGTTGACAACGCCGGCAAAACGATACGCTTTCTGATTCCATCTCATACTCATCCATTCAAGCATATTAAATGTTTCCTGGGTCCATCAAAGCCAGAAACTTCAGAATGCTCTTTTCAATCAGTATCGCCCCAAAATAATCCACTTCACGCTCTTCAGATGACTTTCATGCTACCCACTGCACGGGGCCAGCTCTCTCTGCACTATTTGCTACCACCACACACTTGCTAGATCTGCAAGACCTCCTGGCCCAGCTACTTTTCATCTTCAGTGAATGCAATTCAGAAATACCTTGAGATCTTCGTAGGTATCTGCTGAAAGTTTGGTGCTGTTCATATTTAAACTACACAGGCTCTTCATGGCTAAAAGAGAAAACATGCACATATTTAAGATCATGTTGCATTTCCTTAAAATATCAGGCTTACAGTAGGTCAAAGCACAAACAAGACATGCCTATGTGCAGCACTCTCAGGAAAACAAGCTGAATAGTATAAAATATAGAAGTACAAATGGATAAACAGCTGTTTGGGCCCTCATCCAGGAAAAAGTCCCTATTTAAGAAGGGCCATTAAGCATGTGCTTAAGCCTGCTGACTTCAAAGGAGTTCAGGCAACTTCTCATAATCAGTTTCCTGCACATTATTCTGAACAGTGCCCATTCTCAGTGCAATGCGTGGTGCACGCAGAGGCCATGCTGATCTAGCAGTCCTCCCTCTCCTCTCCCTCCCCCCCATTTTCCATTTTAGGCCCCAGTACTTAGCAGAATAGTTTCCTAAGATGAGCCATAACTACTGGCCTGTCTGTCACGTCTGTGTAGGATCAAGCCTATTAAAGGAGCCCTTTAAACCCATCAGGAGAGGTTTATAATACACTCTTGGATGTAGGAAAGAGTCTCATTCCGGCACATCAAGCAGTTCAGTGTGCAGGGAAATCCTGAATGCTGCTTAGATGGCCCTGCTCTGCCTTGCCCCACTTGAATTAATAATAATGAGAGTTTCACCTCCCCAGAAGAGAAGGAACAAAACAAATGCCAGAGAGAGGATGAAACCCGCTGTGCACGGTTGCTAAACGTGCTGAAATGTTGCTAAGTGTCTTTGCAACCTTCCCCTCCCATACCACAAGGTCAAGCTCCCTCCCAGAGGGGTCAGCCACAGCAGGGTACGGGGAAGAAGTTGACAAGTCCCAGGGCAACAGGTCACCACGTGAAATCGAGACAAGTGCCATCAGTAAAGTTAGAGGTGAGCCCCAGGCCTGGGACAACAAAGCCCACACGAGGCCACTAACCATCATCAGGCTCCGATGACCTTCCCACGTCCCCTGCCTGGAGCTGAATGGCTGAGTGGGCAGAGAGGAGGCAAGTTTAAACCCAAACCCAACCACAGCCTGCCCTAAATCCCCGCGGAAGCAGTGCTGCAGCAGTCAAGGAATCAATCTTCTCTCTGAACCCACGTAAATTCCTCCAAAGCCACGTAATTTTCCTCCATAGCTTATTTTGGTCACTTACAGCTTAGTGCCAGCAGCCCAGCGTCCGTGACAGGAGTCTCGCACAGGTTGAGCACTTGCAGCATCGTGAGGTGTTCGGACAGAAGCCGCAATCCTGCATCTCCAAACTGTGGGGGCAAGTAAAGTTGTTTCCAAACAGCGCACAAACATCACGTGCACACACCTCACTGCAAACTGGGCGCATTGAAACGAGGTTTGCAGAGGAGCCCTCAAAGCCACGCGCGGATCGCTTACCGCAATCACAAACGACAGGGAGAAAGCAAATAGTTTCGTCCCTTTTTGCAGACGGGCACCAGAAAAATTAAGTGACTTGTGCGCACTTAACCGCAGGCCATCATTTAATTAGGATGGTGCCTTTGAAGTCTGGACTTTGTATGAGGAAGCTCCCACCCAGGCTACACAAGATGCTTACGGCAGTCTCAGCCAGTTCCCAACCACATCACACCAAAAAAGCACAATGCAAGTGGTAGTAATTAGCTATTTTGGTCTCAAGAACAATGTACTATTGATTGGTAATTGTTCTATTGACCCACTTCTTTTCTGCTGTTTCTAAATTCTAGATTAATGGAAACCAGGATATCACAAAATAAAATGGAAACTAAACAGTTTTGGGGAAAAAAAAAAAAGAAAAAATCGTACAAAAAGCAGGCCCTTTGTCCCATAAAAATCAAACTCATTTTGAGTAAGAAGCATCAAAGTTTTCAAATCCAAAAGTTACATTGTTAGGACAAATCTGGACGAGATACAAGGCAGTCTTAAAACAAGCAAGCAATCAGATTCTACTTCATAATCCCCAAGCAAAAAGAGGAAATGTCTGGCATACAAAAGTAATTAGGAAAACAAAACAAGATATTTACATGATATTTTAGTTAAAGGAAAAAAAAAACAACCCCCCCAAAAAGCTGCTTTTTGTGGTTGCACTGAGAATAATCATATTTTCAGCAAGCACTACAAATAGGCGCTAACAGAACATGGAGAAAATCTATTCAGTGGAGAACCTCAGAGCCCAAAACCAGCAGAGAAATGCAGAAGAAAAACTCAATTTTAAAAGCTCTTTCAATTAACAGCTGAATAATTTATTCAGTTAACTTGGCCCCTTTTTGCTTACAAAATAACCACATTCTTGCTATAGTTTCTTTCTATTTATTCACTATCTGAGTTTCTTTCTGCTGCTGTTTTTAAAGAAATTCTGGTTGGTCAGCATTCAGGGCAATTCACCGCCTACACTGCACAGACTCTGCTTTGCTTGACCAGAGGAGCTGCACAGCATCAACTTTCACGCTAAATGGCTGAAAGCACAAGCACTTCTCAGATGAACAGCAGCACACGTACTGCAACAACGCTTAACTGGAACATTTAACCCAACACAGCAGCAACCCTTTTATAATTAAAAATAAAGTACTTTTTTTAAAAAGTAAAAAGAAAAATATCATCTTGGATAAGCTAGACCGTAAAAAGGCCTTGCAAAAATAGCATGAGGACAAACTCATTCTAAGCAAACCTCTTCACACACTCTCCTCGTGCTGACGTAATGTGAAATTTCAGAATTAGTCAGCGTTGCTTCCTGCTCTGAGTTTCAGCCCTGTGAAACACTTACCTGAGTTGACCACAGGTTCAGCTGCTTGAGTGAAGGCAGTTTAATGAGGTGCTCAGCACAAGCACTTGTCACATTGGTAAAGGCCAGGCTGAGGTTTTCCAAATTTCCAAAAGATCCTGAGCTTAGCAAGCGGGCCAGGTCTGCATCCTGAAAGCAAACAACAGATTGATAAGCAAGATTATGGACTCCTCGGCCCGCAATCGTTGGCAGTGGTGTCACTGATACTGTCAACCAGCAAGAGTTGCACAATTACACCACTTGTTTACAGCAAGAGAGAACCACACAGAGAAGTTTCTGTTCATTTGGCAAGCAGCTGGGCTCTTGTGGCAGCGTTGCTTCACACAGCCTGGGAAAAATTTATCCAGACACCAGGACAAAAATTTTCTTTGCCTGTGCATTCTTACGAGACACAAAGGCTTCAGTGTCAGAACAAATGTCAAAACTGCAAGTTGTAGATCCAAACTGTGTTCAGGACTGTCACCTGGCCTCCGTGCAGCTAGTCTGGGTTTACACCAACTGCAATTCTTAACTGCAACTGTGATGGGTCTCTTTCAGACTTTCGTGTCCAATGCAAAATTCTGGGGGTAAAATTCTGCCCCCAAATCTATCAATAGATCCTACTCTAACTCCCAGTTCTGCACACCAGTATAAATCTGGCAGTGTGATGCTTGTACTGGCATTGGAAACTGCTCCACAGACCCAAGAGCAGAAATGTGCCCTTACTTGTGTAAACTCCAATTGTGTTGACAGAGCAAGTGGAATGGCTCCCCTCTCGACTGACCAAAACCACCGTGCCACATGGTAAACATAAATCAAGTGTTTAAATATGGAAAGACAAAGCTTGTTTTTCTATTGACATGATTAACTTACTGTGGACTTGGATGGCAGTGTTAACCTTGTGGGACCACCTTTTCTTTGCTGTAAGAGAGAAAATACTTTGGTCAAACAAGTTGCCATTCTACATTTCAGCCCAACCGAAGTATAGCAAGCTTTGCACCAGAGCAAACCCTGCTCCAATTTCAAAGCTCCCTGCCAGCCCTTTCCACCTCTTCCCTGCTTTTTATGCACTGATGGATTTTTTTTTTCCAGTGTGCTAGATGCAGGCCCGTTGCTACCCAGGGGACATCCACAGACTGCGTTGAGCGGTCTTCATTCCACAGGTCAGCATGTTGTCTGATTCAGCCTGCCATTACTGGGTTACTTTCACTTTAAAAGAAACAGCCTTAAAATGCTGGCCTAAGACAGCCAAGGGGCCGAGACTGCACAGCTGATAAAAATCCTTTGTTTGACTTTAAAAAAGCATACACTTTTCAAGCGGGGACCAGGGCTTTAAGAAGACAAATACAAATGTGAAAGAGGGAAGAGGAAGACTCTGGATACATCTGCATAGGTGAAGAAGTACTAATGAGAGCAAATCTATCTTCAATCTGTAGATCCTGTCTTTAAAATGAGGACAAAAATCTTTTTCTCATAGGCTTTAGCTCTGGGAACTAGACCTAAAGACCATCTCAGTGAAACGTTCCTAATGTCAAAGCATTAAGAACTGCTGGCCAGCACTAGAACATTTGCTACTCATATGTCAAAAGGTGGCAGAATTTGACAAGCTGACTTGTAAGATCTTATGTCAGCAGGATTTCACCTTTATTTTTTCACACAGATTCTAAGCAGGTTATTGAATATCATTCATAAACACAGTATGGGATTAGACACGTCAGTAAATATCACAAAGTATATATATTCAGAGCAAAATCCTCCAAATACTGCTCCCATCCTGTTGTTAACTGGGAATTTCACACCCCGCTTGTCTTTCTTTTGTACCTCCATTTCTGGAGAGCACAGACCACGATGTGCTATGGCAATACTGCACGCAGGGCGACATACCAACTCTTTTAACTCCCTCTGCCTGTCACACAGCTGTTCATACATTCTCTTTCCCACGTCTGTGCTTTCCAGGGTAGAGATGATCTGGAGCTGGGTGTCGTTATTATCGATGATGTTGTATTCCAGCATCAAACACAAAATCTAGCAGCAGAATGAAAGAAGAGTGGTCACTGCAGTGCTTACATGCAATTTCTTCCAAATATCCTAATTATACTGGGCATGCTAGTTTGAATGGCTGGGTAAATTTTCAGAGCATGCCTTATGCAGGCTGAATTAAAGGACCGTAGCAACATTTACTGACCTTCCAGCACAAGAAACCAGGTTTTTTTATTCATGAGGAATGAACTCTAATCTCTGAAAGTCAGCCTGCCTCTCTCCTGTCTTCTGTTAGGGCTCATTCCTCCTGACCAAGAGGTGCAATTACTTTGCACCAGTCCTGGAAGATAGCTTCATGCCACAGCCCTCTTCAGAAGAGGTACAATCGATCCAGTCCTTCCCAAGTAGACCGGCTCCCCGGCACACTGGCAGGCGCAGGACATTACACATGAACAGTAAAGCCAAGCAGTTCCTTAAGTGCTACATTTTCTGTCCCAAAGTGCTGGGGCTTCTGTGCGAGCAGAATGCATGTGAAGTGTATCCAGGACGGGGAGAGGCCAGAAAGGCTCCGTGAGGTGATGATGAAGCTGGGAGCTTGCAGCTGTGGCCAGGACACCCTCCATCTCACTGGAACACGCCTGACTCACCCTTGGGCAAGGGGCTGCCAGGAGCAAGTCAGACACCAGGGGGTGATTCCAGCAGGTCCCACAGGCTTGGGACACAAGCTTCCCCCTCCATTCTGCCTTTTCTTTATAGCTAGGTATCAGGCCATTGCAATTAAAATGCAGAGCTTTTACTCCCTCCATAATTTTAATTATTTCTCGATGAATGAAAAAATCAAGCAACATTATATTCAAATTCATGCAGCACACTCGTTTACTTACTGGATTAAATTAACATGCACAGATCTATGTCAATGAAAAATTGTAACTCTTTCCACCTATTTAACCACTCTCTATTTCCATTTAAAATACATGATGACATTTAATGAGAAACTTCTCTAAGGAAGCCTAGAAAAATACAGATAAACTATTAGTGCAACAAAAATAACCAGTCCTGAGCACAAAAATAATGTGCATTCATGTGAGTACATAAGGTTTTGTAAATGCACTTCTTGTGCACTGCTCATTTTGCAGGTGGCAAGACAAGCATTAGGCTTTAGTCATGAAAAAGTCTCGTGGTTCTGATTTCTGACCCCTCGCCAGACACTATACCATCATGACCATTTATTTCCCATCTTAGCCTCTCCAACTAAATTACAGCAATCTCTCTCTCAAAAAAAACACCCTCTTGCACCCACCTTTCACGTAGCTTGCACTCCTACCTCCAGAACAACAATATTCTGTTCCATTTAAGAGAAACACAACTGCCAACTGCTGGTGTTTGATATGACACAACCTGAACTCAGCTTCTCTAGTTCCACTGGATCTAATTCTGGGAAAGGCAGTGTGAAACCAAATCTGAATACTGCTCGTAAACCTGTATCACTGCGTACATTCAGGTCTTACCTCTACCATCGTCTGGTTACCCCTCAAAGCCAGTAGCATGCAAGGTCCTAGTTTATTTTCAGCCAGTGAAAGCAGGAACTTCTTTGTTTTATAGCAGGATCCCATTAAAATATGAACCTATTTGAGAAACAGAGCTACAATTAGAGGTGTAAGCCCAAGAAACACATATACCTCTGAAAGGGACATTGCTACGCAGTCAAACAAATGTAAGTATTTGCAACAAACCTACAGAAAAGGAGGCCCCTCATTACAATTATGGCTGCAGTCTCGCGGATTGAAAGGGACTTTTTGAAAAAGGTGATGCCCAGTGAGATCGGTGGGAGCGGGTAGTTTTCCTCTGCAAGGAGCTCAGCTGACAGCACAGAGGCCTGACATAGGCTCCCCAGGAAACATCACAGCAGCTGTGTGATTGCCCCGTCCCTAGTAATGCGATTGAACCCAGGCCCAGGGGAACCACAGATTTTGCTTTTGCATCTGTTTGCAGTTCAGTTTCTCTGGAAATGCCAGCTGGTGAGCAGAGGCTCCGTGTCGAGGTAAAAGGCAGCGATGCTGGCAACCTGCTGGCTGAAGGCTAGCCTTGGTTAAAGGGTGGTGATGGACAAAATCACCTGTTGCTTTCCCAGACTGGAGCCGACTGGGCAAGGAAGGAGTGCCTTAAGAAAATCCAGCGGTCCTGAGCCCTAAGTCAGCAATGACTTAATGTGCTTTCATGCTCTTGGGTTATTATCTTGCTTTCCCTTTTGCTCAGTTTTCCCTCAAAGGAAAGAAATGCCAAGAACACCACCTGAGTAAGACTCCTTTGAGTCCATGAGCTGACAAAAGCATCCTGCAGACTCTCTCCTAGCTCCAGAAAGCTCTCTGTCAGACGACACCACCTACTAACACCTCTGGCAGAAATGCAAAACATTTGTACAAATCAAACATGAGAGCATCTTCTCATAAAAGAAGCTGGCAACATTCTTTCCCATTTAAAAGCCCTAGAGATCAGCTGCAGAGAATTTCAGGTTCCAAGATGAAAGTCTTATTTTATGCTCAGATGGCCGATTCACCAGCTTTCTGGTGAATGTGAAAATTTCTAGTGTGAAATGTGAAAATTTCTAGTTTCCAACAACCTGGGCAGTAAGGGCTCCATTATGTAGACTCAACATCAGCACTACTCTACAATAAGCTTGTAAATACATTCTCTGTGGTGCCCCTGATTTGTGGTACTGTCTGGACTATGTTCAATGCTGCTGAAAATATTGCACCCCCACCATGATGAGGTAAATTCTATAAAGATCATGTGCTACCATGCCATTCTTCTGCCTCATGGCTTTGTTACCAGCAAGACCTTTACAAAAATACAAAACCTTTTTTTACTTCAGTATCCCTCAGTTCAAGTGGCCTTTAAAAACAGTAAACTTCAAGCCCAAAAGGATTTAATCTCATGCAGTTATCATTAAGCTTCTTGGGAGGTTTTCTTGAACAGAAAGTACTGACGCTAACACTAATGTAAGGTCTATCTCAGAACAGGATGTTTTTCAAACTTTATGGTTAGTCGTTAGCAGCTCTTTAAGTATTTATCAAAATCCTTGCAAAGGGCACAGAGTACTGCATATTAATGCATGTTATCATTGTGCTCTCTCATGCACGCCATCTCCTGATGCTCATAAATATCTGGCACCACAAAAGCTCTCAGGAGAAATGATACAGTTCTGAGAAATTTTCTTTTCAAACATAAAAGTCATAGAATCGGCAAAGAGGGATGAGACCTTTTGTGAACAGTCTTGGTCCATTATCTATTTCAAAAGTAATGTGAATTTAGTGAAGAGTACAGACTGACATACGTGTTCTAGTCCCAAAATATTCAGCATGTGGGAGAAGCACAGAGTGTAGATTCCCCTGAGAGTCACTGTATACCCAACAGCCAACTTCCACAAATGTTTTTCCCCTTACCAGGGAAAGGAAGTAATATCATTTCCATCTTCCTTGCTATATGGAGAATTAATACAATGCGAAACCTACGTGACTTGACCCAGGTTGCACAGGCAGACAGTGCCAGCATCAGTGATTAAACTTGTTATTTTCTGTCTAGTCCTAAGAGTTATAAAGTAACTGTGGGAAATGGAATGCTGGTTTCTAATTATCCCTTCCCACAACAATGTAATTGGGCTAAGACATTTTTCTTTCTTTCTATCCACCCTTCTTTCTATCCATCCTTCTTTCTATCCATCCTTCTTTCTATCCATCCTTCTTTCTATCCATCCTTCTTTCTATCTTTGTCTTTCTTTCCATCCATCCAGCCAGCCAGCCAGCCATCCACCCAATGTTACTGTTGTTTTTAAATTTGAGGGTAGCCTATAAATGAAAAAGAACAGTCTGTCTCCCTTGTCTCCCATTATTCTGTATGTTCTGAGAGAGTTTTTATACAGGCACACACGCATATTTATAAATGCAAAAACATACACACATATGCACACAAGTACATATATGCATGCTTGTGTGCATTATGCTACCAGTGAAACAACACTCTGAAGCTCAAAAAGAGAAAGTTAACATGTTAACCAAATGGTGACTGTAAAGAAGTTCTGTGGAACTGGCAATACAGAGATTTAAACTTCCTGGTGAGCACTTGCAGTTTACAGACCCATGATTAGGATAATTTTTGACAAAAGCAAGTAAATCTTGTTACTGCCAACTATGCATTAGCTGCTTACTGCAACGAAGTTAGTAAACTCACATCACTGCAGACACGTACCATACTGGCAAACAGCTCTCCATCATCATCACATGCCACTCCTCCAGGGCTGTAGAGCTGGAACCAGCCGTCTTTGCCAGCCCGCACACTCAGCAAACAGGAGTGGACCTGCCAAAAAGCCAAGACATTGGGAAGGTTACAGTTCCTGCCAATAATCACCAGCATCTCCCACACCAGGCCAAACAGAAGTAGCTACAAAACCAAAGACTGCTGGAAATTTCATGGTTAATAGTCCAACCTACAGAGCAGCAGGCAAGTTTCCACTGGCAGAATCCATTTTGTCCCTATAAATAAGGAGGGAAGCCACATCATCGCTAATTGCATGGCCTTTTTCATTCCCTTTACACAAATCAAACACAAAATGGCTCTTATCTAGAACAACTCCTTTCACTTGGGGGAAAAAAAATCACCATAAAAAACCAAAATAAAGACTCAAATTTCTGAGCTTCTGCCATTTCCCCCTATCCTCCCAGCATGAACATCTACACTTCTGATGTGATCTGCATACGAAATGCAGTGCCTGATGGCTTGCTCATTACAATCATTAAAAACTCTTATTACTCCTGCTGTAATAAAATTTGACCAGAGTCAGGGCGAAGGAAGTCTGCAAGGAAAATTCAACAGGGATATATTGAGACAGAAGTCACACAGAAGAACTATCACCAGTGAGCAACCATTAGTTTAAATGTGGCCCGCTGTAGAGATTACTGTATCTAGTCCCACAGTTTAATAGAAGAGTCATAATTAAGCTCTTTTCTAATTCCCCCCCTGAAGAGACAGATATTCTATTTCAATTTTTGAGGTGGATGAGGAGGTGAAGTCCTTGCTCTTTCCTTTGGGCATGTAACACTAGCGACAGATGAAACCCTGGTGCCATTCTAAGACAAGGTCTCTCTTATCTGACAAGGCTGACAACCATTCACAAAGGCTAAAACCATGAAAACCAGGAGTTCTGGGCAATGATGACGACGATACAGCCTCCTCACCTACAGTTTGGGGGAGTTTTCTTCCCTTTACGCCAAGACCAAAAATTACTGCGGATGAGAGGTTCCCTCTGACTCAGCCAAAGCTGACGATGTTGAACAAGCTACAAGCGCAGCCCTGAAGCAGTCAGCACCACGAGGCTACAACTACCCACTCGTCCCAGGAACACACCTCCCACCTCCTTTCTCCTGCTAATTCATGAGAATTACGGTCATTTGCACACAATGTTAACTGAAACACAGCTAAATAAAACCTGTTATTTTGTAAGCTGCATGGATCCATGGATTTTGCTTCCCTTTTTTTTTTTCTACAGAAGATGAAATGCTCCAAGAGACTCAAAAGAGCCAGAAAATCTTGCTAGTTGCCGCTTCCTGCAGAGCAAGGACATCGACCGATGCCAGACGGGGAGGTCCCAACACATGTTCACACATAAGGCAAGAAACCATTCACACTAAGACTGTGTGACTACTCCCTAAGAAACTTAAGCCCAGCAAAACCACACCAGGTTTTGAAACAAACTACTTAAGGAGAGATCTCCTGATCCCTCCAATTAACACTCTCCATAAACAGGCAATAAACTCACTTCTTGCCTCGGGTCTTCTGCAAATCTCTGAATTACATATTTCAGCTCCCTGAAAAAAAACAGTTAAAAAAGACAAGAATAAGCAGTTGCCGGCTGCAGTATTTGCACAAATGTCACATTTCTCTTGGATTACACTTTAAATTGTATATTTTCATGCACTTTAGAGAGAAACAAGTAGAACTGCTATCACACGAGGCAAATACGATGTCTAAAAGTGACTACCAAGGACAGTGTGTATTCACAACAGCCTAGAAAAGCTTTCAGAGATGTGCAGTGACAAATTTGTTTGTAAATTCTATCAGCATCTAGTGTCTTTAGTCCTTGGGCTCCTGCTGTCACAGTAAATTACAAAGAAAAATACATCTTTTTATTGCTAACAGAACATGCTTACAGTCCCTCACAGATGAAAAGCATTAGAGACACAACATTGAATAATGCATCATTGCTATTATTGACTAGTACAAGTATTTTAAGTAATTATCCCTTTCAGTAAAACAAACAAACCCCACAAACTTACTTTGTGAATTTCTCATGTGCAAGAGCCCTGAAATTTAAAACAGAAAACAGAAAAGTTACAATGACTTGGAAAAACAGAGGGAAAAGACAATCAGAAATCAAACAACCACTTTTCAGTTCCTTCCAGATAATAAAAACATCTGCTAAGCAACTGTGCCACACAAGACAAAAAGAGTACTCTTCCAAAAAAAAAAAAAAAAATCAGGTAAAGTCTCCCTCACTAATCTACAGGGGAAAAATGAAGCAAACAAAAAAAAAAAAACACTTGGAACAAACCCTGTAGCTTTTCCTGAGTCCTATCTTAGACAAGGCTCTGATTAACGTCATTGAGACTTTGGGTCCGAAGAAACTAAGTGAAAGACTTGGCATACAACTATATAATTACAAACAGAATTTTGGCTACCTCCAAGAGCCAGGTGAATTCTTTAATTGCCACGCAATTAAGGCATGGTCACAACTAATTAACACCATACATCAGTAAAGCAATTAATGGTCATTCTGTGCAGTGCCTTGCATCATGGCACAGTTTACACCTCCCCCAGGACTCAGATTTGACTTAAGTAAATGATGTCTCTGTTGCTTATCTCCAAGCTCTCACTGTAGCCCAGGTAACCTGGCACGGAGGATTAGACCTCTCTGATTCAAGACATCAGGTCATTAGGGGATGTGATAAGCTAGCAAATTCTACAATTATGGGTTGTAATGTTTGTCCGTGGAGGTCTGCATTTTATAAACGCTACTGTTCATTAACAGGTTTCTTAGGGAGCATGGCTGATCTGTAGGGTAGCTTCTTCATTTAATGCAAAATACAAATGATACGAGTCTCTGTGACGCCAGTAAATCATCCTCCTCCACTAAATCTCTCACGTTGCTCTCCTTATCACCAGCTTTCCTTCTTTTCCTGTCTGTCTGTCTCTGGTTAACCATTTCTGTCTTCAGGATCATCTTAGAGAAATGGGGAAGGAATGTGAAGATGGGGAAGTCAATCACAGAATCATAGAACAGTTTTGGCTGGAAGAGACCTTCAAGATCACCGAGTCCAACCTTTTCCTAGTCCTATCAACACCAATCTAAACCATGTCCTTCAAGGCAACATCCAGCCGTCTCTTGAACACCTCCAGGGATGGTGACTCAATCTGCTCCCTGGGCAGCCTGTTCCAGTGCCCGACAACCCTCTCAGTAAAGAAATTCTTCCCAATATCCAACCCGAACCTTCCCTGGCGCAACTTCAGGCCATTTCCCCTCATCCTATCTCTCGCCACTAGGGAGAACAGACCAACCCTCGCCTCGCTACAGCCTCCTGTCAGGTAGCTGTAGAGAGCCATAAGGTTTCCTTTCAGTCTCCTCCAGGTTAAACAGCCCCAGATCCCTCAGCTGTTCCTTGTACAACACATGCTCCAAACCCTTTACCAGCCTGGCAGCTGCCTCTGTACCCTCTCCAGCACCTCAATGTCCCTCTTGTAGCAAGGGGCCTAAAACTGGACACAGGACTCGAGGTAAGGCCTCACTACATCCTTCTGCATCACCCCAAATCAACTCCAGATTCTAAATCAATCCTAGATGCACAAAGCTCCTATTACCACCAGTTTTTACTTGACATTATATTTCACCGTAAAACAAAAGTAATGAGAGTAGCCCAGTAAATACTACGACAGTACAAACTTACTCCTTGGGAAACGGGATAGGTTGAAGCAAGCTGGCCAGGGCTGGTCTCCAGTCATCGTAGTCTGACCTGAAAAACGAACATTTTATTAGTAGGTACCAAGCATTAAACATAGTCTGTCAACAGTTCGAGGAGTTACAAGCTTTTTACTGCAAGCTCCAACAACCCTTCTGTTTTACTGAGACACTCCAAAAATTTACAGTGACATTTCCCTTTCCATTTTCAGCACATTCTCCACTGAGGCACAATAAATCTGGTATTTACAGTGACCTCCAGAGAGGCCTTCTTTATGTCAACTTAAAGACATTTGCTGTTTACGAAACCTGTTGACATTTAATCACTAAGTAATACTTTCATTTAAGTTGCTACAGCAATTACCAGGCCACTGCTATTTACAGCTCTGCTCTGCATTTAATTGGAATTTTTATTTTATTTTTTTTTACTGTAAGACATAAGCCTATTTGTAAAAACAAAGACACACCCCCAATCCACTTTTGATCTTGGCACAAAGCAGTGGGTCAATTTAAGCAGTCCAAAGTCTTGAGCTTAAGTGGTGAAAGCCTAGAGAAGGAAGCACTGTCAACATTATTAAGAGCGAAAGAGGACAAATGAGGGTAACCACAGCAGAGAGCTCAGGCCAGTGGACCCAGTAAGACGTCTCTCCTTTCTATTCTGTTACCACTACAGCTCGCAGCTGGTGCATTCTGCTTTCATCTCTGCTGTCAATATACAGATGATAAGCCATCCATAAGAGGATGCTCATGGAAAGTAGGGTAAAAAGAACATTTTGCTTCACAGCATGCATTGACCAGTGCAAACTCATCAGGAAATCCACCTGCATCATCTGGAGCCACTGCATCCCTCATCATCTCAATTCACCTGCAAAACACGAGCTCCTCCAGCACAGGTGGTGAAGCAGGTACAGCTTCTCAGGCGGGAACAGCACCTTGCACACTGTTAGCCCTCTCCGCCAAATCACCTCTAACATTTTGTGGTGAGTTAGTACTAATTAACTGCCGTACCGATGCACTGCACAAAGGGTACAATCGCTGTAAGACGGATGAAACATGGAACAGAGAAGAGAATTTGGCCAGTCAGCACCCAAACGGGGCGCAGAACCCACCAGCCAAAGCCCAGATGCTGGCACCACCAGCTGGGCCCCTCCCACTCCAACTAACACCAGTGAGTACACAAAGAAGTAAAGGCAGTAAATCTCATATGAGGTGAAACATCTTGGGGTGTCTGTAGAAGACAACATACAAGAGTCTACCATCTCCTCTTACTGCTGTTAGCCTTTGGATTTCAGTTTCAAAAGCTCAGTTATTGGCTGCAGCTTACTGCAAACTTGGCACAAAAGTATGGTTTCTTTGGGAAGGAACGAAGTGTAACATTCTCAAATGGACAGTATCTACTGATAGCATTAGAAACAGACAACATATGCAAAGGAAGCACTCCAAAATAATGCATTTTTTGCAAAGAGAAAGTTCTAGCCTGGAGAAATTGAAGATGGATGCATTTTCAAAAGTTTCATCCATTTTTTGAACCACATAAACCAGAGATTTCCATAAACTAATACAATAACACATGACATTGGGCAGTCCACAAAAGCATGTTCATGGACACAAAGAAAACTTATGTGCATAAGTAGGATAGTCTTAAGAAGCAACATGCAGAGAAATTCTAATTGAAGGGATAGTTATGATGTAAAAATCCCTCTACCAAGAGGCCAAGAAGCACAACACTGTGTTGAGTGTCTCTTAAGTTGTAGCCATGAGAAGCGACACAGGTCTCTGAATCCCACAGTCTGGCTTTCACCACATTTATTAGGTGTGAGAACATACTCCAGACCAAAAGAAGTAGTCTGACTTGATGCTGGCACCATACTCCCACTCAAACATCCATCTCTGTACTCAGGGTGTTGTGTACTCCTCTTGGCCAAGCCTCAACTCACCCTCCACGTCACAGCCTCACTTCTCACAAGCGATCTCCGGGTGCAGCCTGAGCACTGGTCCTGGAGAAGCTCATGGACGGACCTCAGTGCTCGTGTTTGGGAATGGAAAAGTCTAATGAGCACCCTTTGTCTTCTTTTTTTTAAAATGTATGTACCCTTTGAAAATTCCTACTAAAAGAGGAGCTGATCTTACTCTAAAAATCACACACTTTTATTGATAGATGCCAACAACTTTCAGAGCACATTTCTGACCGGGAGACACAAAGTCAAAAGGCAGAGTTAGGAAATTCAAAGGTGCTAAAGGTGTTTTGCATCACATGAGATATAGCACCTACAAATCTTTCCTAACAGAATTTAAAAGCTGAGACCCGTTTGGAGGCCCATGACACCTCAGGTTAAGTGTTAGACCACTAAAATTCCTCCTTGAGCTATCTGGAGAGTTGTGATTAGTAATACTGTGAACCAACCAATTTTTCATGGCTGATCTTCAAAGGAAATTGCGAGAGGAAGAAAAAAGCTTCTTTGTAACAGACTAAGACCGAGCGAAACAGTGCAGACAGAATTAAGACAGTAGCCCTCTCTGACTTTTCTTGAAGCTGGGAATTATGTTTGACATCCATTTGCAGAGCAGGTCTGTGAGAGGGCAGTGAAAATAAACCACAGCCTGTTTTCCTAAGAGGAAAAGAAAGAAAAGTGTCTCCTGTGAAATATATAGAGTTTGGTCACACGAATAGGACCTGAACAGAAAATCTACACAGCCTGTAATCCCTTCAGTCTGAGCTAGGCAACATGAAACATAGCACAAGAATAAAACTAAACTACTTATTAAAAGCCTACGGTGTTTCTCCTCCTCCCACCTATTCTCTTTTCAAAAACATTTTCCTTCTGTCTGTGCTCATCTCATCCGCACTCTTCTTTCATTTCAGACACTTGCTTTTTTATTCTCTTTTTTTTTTGGTCCATTCAAAGCTCTAATACAAGACAGAAGTGTTTGAAGCAGGCAAAGAAAGGGAGATAGATTGGCTCTGGCTGCAGTTAACAACCACAGCAATGAGCCACACAAAGAGGCTGTGCTGGGAGGAGGAGGGACACAGGGAGAAGTCGGGCGAGCGCCTGTGACAAACTCCCTTTGGAGCTCTTCAAAGGGTGCGGGGCTGAACACTCACGCTCCTCACACTTAAATCCCAGGACTGGCCATAGAAAAGCACCACGGGAGGAAGACTCCCTGATGCACTCCCCGGCTCTGATTTTTTCGAGATTTGCAATTTTCAGTGAGTAGCGCAGCAGCTGACCTGCAGCCCCATCCGTGGGCTCCCGGGAAGCGTGTGCGAGGCCGGGGGTCAGGGTGTCGAGCGGGCGAAGGCTCTCAGAGCAGTCACCCCCTGCTGCACACAGCTTTGCTCACCCAGAAACTGTTTTTAGGGGATTGGCCAGAGCACTGGCAAACCATAACAACTAAAGAATTCCCAACTGCAGTGACTTTGCTGTTGGGCCACCGTCACTACTGACCTGCCAACAAAATATATTTTCCTTCCCCAGGATCACTTTTCACCAAAATGAAAACCTGTCCATATGTCATGTGCGGCACAAACAATCCAAAACATATTAGCAGCCCAGGGCAACCCTGATAAACATGACATAAGAGAATCCACTTGGGATATTCCAAGCATGCCACTGACCTATTGGGGAATGCAGAGCAGGCAGGGGAAGCTCCAGTGGGTGCCTGCGCTTGGAAAGCTGTCCGTCTTATCACCGGGAGACTAGCCCCAAGTCCTCTGGTTTTGGAAGAGAATAAAGAGACAAGGAGCAACTACTGGGAAGCAGCTTGTTTCTCCAGGCTGAGCGGTCTGACAAGACGAAAAATCCTTTAGGTAACTCCTCTGTTATCAGATAATAAGATGACCAAGCATCCCAGCTGTGTACCTTATCCCTTCCTTCTCCGGCTCTAGGTCCAACTCCTCTGAATTATGACACAAGGTTTTGCTCAGGGCTCCAGGGCAGGCTGAGAAAAAGTCCCATCAGAACCCCTGTCACGGAACCACAAACCTGCTAGCTGCAAAAGAGTAAGACGCCTTCTCACGTTCAGCCTTCTTCTGAGCTGGTCCTGTTTGTTTTTTTCAAAATAAGAAAATTTAGCACCATTGAAAGGTCCTGCTCTGGCTGCTGGGAACAGAGAAGGTCTCCACTGCTCACGGTTGGCGTGAGGAAAGACGGCATGAGGAAAGTTTGCACAAAGTGGACAATTCCAGCCCGGTCACACACATCTCAAAGAGGGATACAAGTGTTTGGGCATCTGGGAGGACCCTTGTCACAGACGAAGGGTGACAGCTTACAGTACAACGTCATCAGAGCCTCCCTCAGAGGTGTCTATTCCTGCAGCCGGGTTAGTTGGGCGCTTGTTGATCTGGATTTCACTGCAGGTGCAGTTGAAGTGCTGTGCCCCCTACGCTCGGTGTTGCCAGGGGAATCGGTGGGGTCCTTGGGGAGACAGGCAGACTTTGAAGTTACCCAGTCCAAGGAAGAGGACACACAGCCCCTTTCACTGCAAATTTCTTTAACTGCAGTTGCACTGTTCAAACACAAGTTTGGCCGTAGAAGTGATTCTCTACTGCATGGAAACATTAACATGCAAGTAGGAGCTGGACAACACTAAGCAGCTCTCTAAGCCTCTTAATTCAATATGATGAACAGAAAGATTAATTCAGTGCATTTTCTACGCAGCAGTTTAAGACTTGTAGCATTCAGGAGGTACTGACTGGCATCAATAACGCTATCAGAGTCCAGAATGCATTAGAGAATATTGACACAGAAGTTTGATCCACTTTTGAGTGCAGGACAAAAATACCATGTTCCAGTGGAGACTGTGTCTCTCTTATAATCTGCCAAGACTTTGGGTCATCTGCCAACATCTTTAGAACTATGAATTTTCTGTTTTCCTTTAATATGCAATAGTTGCATTTCATTACCCAACTACATTAGAAAGAGAGTCAAAGACATTCTCGGTGCTATGGTAACAGCTACAGAGATGAACCTTCTAATCTGCACATTTAGCCTTCTGTGCAAGAAGTGAGGTATTACAGTGATTATTAAATAATCACTGTTAGATTTTTATCAATAGTGCTTTTTCTCCCCCAAAAAAGTGGTGTGTAGGAGTAAGGTGAACAATAAAATGTCCACTGATGAAGATACTGTTAAGAACTCTTAGTTGCTAGACTTTCAATAATTAAAATCTGCCTAAATAAATTACCCTCCGCTGCCCTAAGTTAATTATGTAGAAAAGATATCATTGTTGGTGACTCTCCTATTTTGATGATGATATTGAGTCAGATACCTAAAAGAACAATTAAATTCAATGCTAAGCAACTTATTTATGTTTGGCTTACCACTGTTATTAATAAGAACATTATTTTAGTGACTGCCTGCTGAGAGCTCAGCTCCTGGACAGCAGTTGCTTTGTAATTAATGTTTTCTTCTTACTGGCATGTTCTCCAATTCTTTTTCTTCATATCTTTGACTTTTCGAAGTACACTAATAGTATTCAGTGCATCTGGAAGCCTTCGTTCAAGAAAAGTTTAAGCATGCAGGGAATCAACATCACAAAGGAATAATACTACATTTTTTTAAAATAACTACTAACCCTTCTACCGTGCTTTTCCATTACTGGTTTCAGAATTTAGGAAACAACATTCAAAATCTTTACCTATATTTTAGAGATAAGGAAACTGAGGCCCAAAAAGAAGTGACTTATCTAAAACCTCCTAGTAAGCCAGTGGCAGATTCAGGAGCAGAACTCCTTTCTGCATTAATGTTTTCAGGTTCAAAAATAACCAAGGGATGGACAGGAACGGAAGGGAACCCAGATCAGTGGAGTTGAACTACAGATCAGCCGTGGCTCTGCCTTACAAACCGTCCTATAGTCTCATAGGTTGTCATTACTCAAGCAGGGTGTGGACTCTGGCAAGGCAAACTGAAGAGAGTTGCACCAATTTCCCAGTATCACTGGTCCTTCACTAAACACATCCAGCGGGTTTCACCCCTCAGAACTACCATTGTACGGGCTGGAAAAGGGCACAAAGCCACTCCACACCTACAACCTGTGTGATAACAATAACAACTTCCAATTTTCACTGTTGTTACTGAAGAGCTTGATTTTTAAAAAGACAGTTAAAAAAAAAAAGCTGTTTTGAAGGTATGGAGTGAAATAAGGAAAGAAAACATTGGAAATTATGTGGGAATTGAGACCTGGCATATCAAATGTTTAGAATGTGGAGATGCTGTGAGGAAGAAGATGCCCATTTGTGAATTTGTTTATAAGTGTGTGTCAGCTGCATGATGAAACCAAAACCGTCAGTACCTAGTGAGTCAGCATCCAAGGCAGCATCGGGACCGAGAGAGTTCATAGTGTTTATGGAAAACATCTAGAGTCACGGGGATGGGAATAAATACACAATGTGTTTAACGCAGCACCTGGGTGAGTGAAGACTTAAGAGGTCACCAGATGAAGCAAAGTCAGATGCTGTGCTTTTCTAAAGGTAGAAGAGGCTAGGCTGGGGGGGGAGAAACAAACAAAAACCCAATAAAATTAACCCTCAGCAACTTCCTGCACAAGAATTTAATGAGAACAGTATCTTAGATTCACCTGTCCTGTCTCCATTTCTATTTGCATATTTACAAGCCAACTCTGCAGTGAGCAAAAAAAGTATGTTAAAAATTGGTACTATGTATTTCAAAAAAAATAAAATTTGAGGCAAAACTTTCACAAAATCGTTTATCACCGCAGTTGAACTTCATTGAATTCCTTGAGTGTACACCCAGACTTGCATTTGACTTCAGTGCAGCCAAATGCTCATCGTTTACAGAGTCCAAATTTCACCCATTGCTTCTTGTACTGTAAAAACCTCAATCATTACTTCATTAATCCTTACATCGTTTAAAAAAAATTAATGCAGAAATATAACATTTTGCCCAAAGACATACTGCAACTCAGCAGCAGAGCTGGCTGCCCAAGTCAACCAAGTTGTTTTGGGTTATTTTGCTGCACTTCTATCACAAGCTTCCATTCTGCAGCCCACCTTTTGTGTTACTCTTTTTCATTTATTTATCCAGGAGAAAAATAAGCTTTCTCTGGAAAAAAAAAAAAAAAAGATATTTTCTATTCCTCATGAAGATATTCAGAGGATTTGCTTCCCAGGAAACCACAGACCCATCATTTTGTAAAGGCTGTTTTGAGCATTTGTTCACTAATAGAGGTCCTCTGTACCAAAGCAACCAGTCAACAAATACAGGCTCCACTCTAATACAAGTAAATATGAACAAGTCATAAGACTTCTACAAACATACGAAAAAGGAGAACACCTAAGTGAAAGATGCTGCATGTTGACCTCCTCCAACTTCTGCTGCAGCCGGGAAGCAGCGCTGCCTATCCCTGCACAGGCACCGAGTCTGCACAGACCTGTCTTTTCTAGCTCTGTCTTGGGCAATCCCGAGAGCCTTGGAGGAGAAAAACGGATTATTTCTTTTTCGGTGGGCAAGAACAGAGACCACTGGCAACAATATCTCTTCCTCTGTAATATGCTTGATGCTCACTGTATAAAGTAGCTTTCTGTTTTCATCTTCCTAATGCTATTTTTAGAACATATTGGCAGTGCCAGATATCTCTTTTAAAGGCTAGGCTCCCTAAAACTAGAGTTAGATTTATAATCATGTGCTTGCTGGCCACAGACGTTGAAGACGACAGGCCAGTGGGAGAAGTTGCCCGTTGTTAAGATGACATTGTTCAAAAAGCTGTTTAAAATAGTTACTCACAGCATCTTGAGTATTTCAACGTAACAGCCAAGAATCCTGTCTGCCTGGGCACTCAGCTCAATGCTCATGGTGCTGCACGTAGGACTGACCATCAAGCAGTCAATCAAGTTGGGCTCGCTGTCATTGCCAACGTTTGCTGTCATCTTCTGATTAGCTGTGTTGTTGCGCTCTACTTCCACGTGGATCTCGTTTGAAGTGACAATAACTGGTTTGAGACGGGATTCAGTCAAGGTGGCCTCTTGAGAGACCAGGTCAGGACTTGTATGAAGAAGGCGGAGGGGCAGATTAGGCTTTCGGTCACACTGCTGCTGGCAGCCATTCCGAATTTCCTTCAGACTTGGCGAATTGTCTCGACTGAAATTTGAAAATAAACAAGCAATTTCAAGAGACAGACATAACAGCATAAAGCAGGAAAGAGAGTACAACACTGAGAAGCCAAGATCTTTTGCAATGTCCCACTGCATTTCACCCCAGCCCACCGGATTGCTTTCTTCTGTGTAATCGGATTACTGAAATCAATTAAAAATATTAAAAGGGTCCAACAGGACTGTTCTGCAGCCCCAACTCTACAAAGATTTGAGCTTTTAATTACTCTAATTGACATGCCAGTTTAGTATAAAGGTGAATTTTCCCATCCAAGTTGTGCAAAGCTGTAACAGAATCCATGCCCAAGTATGTATCTGGCTACAGTACATGCCCAGACATTTGTCTGCAGCCCTCGTGTCTGGAATTTTTCTTGGACACTAAGCAGCCCCTGTCCGTGCTCTACCATGAAGAAAGTCAGAGAGGCATAAACAAATAGGAAATATAGCAGAGGGGAACCCTCATTGTCTACTGGAAATTGGCTCATTTGTTGAGAACTGCGACATCTTTCTTGCGGTAAGCCAGGAATCAAATTTTCCACAACAATGGAGACAGCATTGTGAAACCAGCTGAGGTTCAAAGCTGTAGACACACGGGGATTCACACAGAACCCCTGCTTGAAGATCTCACCCTCCCCTTTGCTTTAGGCATAACACAAGCTTCATGTGCCAGCAAGGGAGCAAAATGGACACTGGTCTGGGTAGTCCTGAATTCCCAGAGACTCTTGTGGAGCAATCTCATCTGCTGACCTAAAAAGGCTGGTTAGGCCTGCAGTCTGCCTTAGAGGAACATCTCAACAGCAGCCAAAATGGGCATGCAGCTGCCTGTTGAACTTCATCCTGGAAGTTACTGCAGCTTGCAGTCACTTCTGTACTGGGAACTACTGAGCTGCTTGCATCACCAGCACCATCCCCATTTCCAAGCACGGGTGCCAAAGACGTGCAATAAGCAATTACCATGCCCAGTGCCTCAAAACAGGCCATAGTGGGTCCAAGGGAATGAAGGATCAGCACCTTTTAGGTTTTTAAGCACACAAAGAGTAACAAATACAAGCACCTATCTACAAAAACATGCACATGACCAGAAGTCGCATACGCAACACTAGCAGGGAGCGGAAGGAAGACACGCTCTCACATAGGCACACCCTTGCTCACAGATGCCATGGGTTTGGAAGTAACACGTGAGCAGCTGGGAATTCATACCGACCTGTTGATAAATTCCTCGTAACATGAATAAATGGCTGCTAAGCAGACAGCTACAAGATTTGGCAGGACCCTGGGATGGGGGCATTGTCCAGTTGGACCATGCATGCTGAAAAACAAAAACCAAGATGACATTATTGTGAGGAAGATTTCTGTGGAGAAAAAAAAAAAATAGACAGAACAGGGTGCCAGAAATGGACAGACAGCCTTGGGAATCTTCAGGAGAGCCTTAAGAGAGAGTAGTTTTAACCGTCTAAATCCCTACCCAACAGCCCACTTTAGTTTATCTGATGCGGTATCTCGGCAGTTCCCCAAAATCTCACACATGACTGAGCATTATGTGAGCTGAAGTTAATGGGGATATTTTGTAGAGGCTCTGAGTTTAAATGTATAATAAGAACGTATACACAGCAAAATCCACTTGCTTCCAGTGTGTAACTAGGCAAAAAAACTCAGACATATTTGAGAATTAAGTTTAAAAAAGAGACTTCAGCAACATTGCCTCACGGACTCTTCTAATTTATTTGCCGTTTGCCAGTACCAAAAAGCACTAGTTACTCTTAACAGTCAGTAAAGAGATGAGCAGGGCTGGGAGAAGTAACACAGTGAAGCATGTACACAGGACTGGAAATAGGTCATAAATTAAATGTAACCAACCTATGAATAAACTTCTTCACCACCTCCATTCCAGCATTCAGCTCATTCAAAGCCAGAATATACTCCTGAGTAAACAGCCGCAACCGAGGGCACTTCCCAAAATCCTGCAAAACGAAGAGACTCAGTGGAGATGGTGAAACACGCTTGCAATGTACATTGACACTGTGGGTTTTCAAAATAAATCAGCTTGGACACAATCGGATTCCCTTTGTTATGCTGACAGTTTCAAGAGTACAGTATCACTGCATGCTGAAGTAATGTTCTTCTCACTGACATGCTTTCCAATTCACCCTTGCTCCCATACCCAGTTTGAAACAAAAGATGTGTTTAATGAAAAAAAATCCCACCTGCACTTACATTTCTTTTGTACTTCACTTTATATACTTTTTTTTTTTTCACTTTTATCTTAATTGTTTGTTTGTTATGCACTTCTACCTCCACTCATAACTGTAGGGTTTTTTAGAAACGCAACTCAAAAATAATTTTTTACTTCCATGTTTGACAACATATCTATTCTGCTTTTGGAGAACATCTTTCTGACATGCGATCAATAAGAGATCATGTACAACATCAGAGATCTTTTTTTTTCTCCAGGGATTTTACTCTAGCTACAATGTGCATTTGACAGGCAAGCTCAACAGTCAGTTTCTTCAAATCCTGCAGTCGGAAAGGCACCTGCTAACTGAAATCCTGCATCTCCTCACATCACCTGCTATTTTTAGATGTTAAAGAAGTAAAATCTGCTGTCTGGTGAGTGTTATTGCACAGCACATTTCTTCACATTTACACAGATATAACCTTATTACGCAGGTAATTACAGAACTACGAAGCTAAATTTCCAAGGCCCACTGAGGACAAACAAGCCCTCCTAGTCATCCCTCAAGCAGCTGGCTGTGGAAGAAGAGTTATCCCGAAAAAATAAACGGCAACTGGAACTTTAAAAGAGAAGCCACAAGTGGTAACGAACTGGTGGCCTGTAAAAGGGAAGGTAAGACTCCCAAAGCACTCAAACCTTCTGCTACTTATTTTGGTTTCAGGCACTTCTATAGCACAGTCTAGATTAACACCTTATAGGTTTTGCAGCTAGAGAAAAATAACCATAAATGTGAACACAACCTAGGTAGAACAATGTCTCCTTCAAGTCTAAGTGTCACTCTTGGCTAGTACTGAATGGCTACTGGCAATTTCACCCAGCAAATGGACTATGGGCAATTAAAATTCCACCATTGGTATTTCAATTAAAATCATTAAACTTCTATCAACTTCTGGCAGGTGCAAATACACTTGGTCCAAGGGTATGAGGCTGTGTGTGCTTCTTATGCTATTTGGTGCCATTTAAATTCATGAACACTCCTTGCAAGATAGCTTTTAGAGTTGCCATCTGTTTACAGAATTTTTCAACCCATGCTGTTGTCCTAACTGAAGTTAGGACAAAAAGGCCAAGAGATTGCAAAGAGAATGTCATTGCTGACTGTTCTAAAATAAAATACCTGCCAATAAAACATGAAGCTCAGCCGCCATACCAGGCACAGAGCAATGCACAGCATCAATACTGTATTCTCAAAAAAAAACCCAAAAAACCAAACCAAAACAAAATCCAGCAGTGCCTATATTCAAACATTTGGGCTAAGTCTACAAGCAGCTGAAATCCAAAGGTACCGAGAGGTTGCTGAGCACTCCCCAAACAATTCAGCACACAATAGTCTTCAGTCCTGCATGTAACCAGTAGTATCGGCAAGACAAAAAGCTATCCTTGCTCTGTTGAGATTTCAAAGTGATAAACAAAGTACTCTTCCCCTATTTCATAGGTGGGAAAGTGTGGAACAGAACTTGCCATGAACTTATCAAAGGCCACAGAGGAAATTAGCAGCAAAGGTGGGAACAGACAGCCAGGTCTCCTGCATGGACCCTCCTAAGGTTACAAATATTGCCAACAACATTGTCCCCCTAAAGGATAACTTTATTTACATTCACACACACACACATTCTCTAAAAGACTATTCATACAGAAGTCCCTGGAGAGCAATAAAGTGCCCAAATCCACTCCAATTAATATATGACACCATAAATTCTCTGACTACACACTGCGGTACAGACATGTTGATTTTCAATCTGCAAATGTTAAGTATGGTAAATACACCCAATTCTCTGAAGCTAACCAAACACAAGCATTACACTATGCATTTAGATTTTATTTGAGGCTCCTTAAGAGCTCTGGATGCTTTAAAAAAAATCAGTCCAGAATCCAAGAATAACATTTACAGAATATTTCATTGAACACTACAGAATATTCAAAAACATTTACATGTCTGCGGAGTGCAGGCACAGAGCCAGGAATACAACCTTTCTGCCATCTTGGGCTTTCTACCTAGTTCCTTATACTCAAGAACTTAAATAATAATATCATTGTAAAAATACGAAATATAAACTGTTTTCTACTGAGTTCATGTTATACACGGCAGGACAGTGGGTGACCTCTAAAATTATACCAGTAAGTGAAAAGAAGTTGATCATGTAGTTATCAGAGGTATGAGAACAATCCTTGAGATCACAGTCAAGTTCAACTGCCTTAAATATTTTATTTTATTTATTCGTTACTCTTTGCCACAGCACGGTGAAGTCAGATTTCTTTATGTAACTTAAAAACTATGGCAGGAAACTTGATATGCCACAAAGGATGGAGGGCTGGTAAACACCCAGACCTCTCTTAGGAAAGGAATACAGATCACGTAAGAGTATCTTCAGAGGTGGGGGGGATCTGCTACGCAGGATGGAGAGAGCAAAGCTGGCAAGGAAGTCTTCTTGCATTTATTTCAATCACTAGCAAGTAACTGATCAGCGATACGAGAGAAGGCCTGGGAGAGAACAATCATAAAATGACAGAGTACATGATTCCTGGAAAGCAAAGGAAGAAGAGTAACAGAAAAGCATGAGGAAATTCAGGAAACCTGGGTAAGAACTCATCAGACATGAGTCTAAAGAAAAAACGGAAATCCACAGAGCTGGGGAAAGAAAAAATGTTGGCTCAAAATCAACAAAGTCCCTATTCTGATTGTGTTACTTAATTGACTAAAAACCATTATAACTACAACGATGGCATGTGAGGAGTAAATAAGAAACCAAGAGCCAGGAGAGAGCTGGAGTGCATATGCTGGCACTACCGCCACGGGAAATGTTTCCTAAATCATGGCTTTCCTCAGATGCATTTGGAAGTCCCACAAATGCTTACAAGTCCTGCATTTACAAAGCAACACATGATTACATGCAACATTCATGCTCTGGGACTTAGATTTAGGTAACACAGTGCTTTGCTCATTACAGGCAATAGAGCAGCTGCTAATTACAAAACGCATCCCAGCCAAACTTCTGCAAACCGACCAACTTTCCGTAGCAGTTACGCTCACCATGTTGTGTTTGAGAATCCTCTGTACCACCGGTGTGAACACTTCTATCACAACCATGGACCGGGGGCGCTCTCGGCAGTGCTGTAATGAGAAACAAGACATTTTGTGAGCTGCAGAAGATGGGTCTCCTCTGGTGTTGCACCCCAGGCATCGATTACCCCAAGATGAACAAAATCCAAGGGCTAAATTAAATCTTTCCTGGGATTAGAGAATTTGTAACACTGCTCTCTCCTACAGATCTGCTGGCATCTATTAGAAGATTATCTTGAAAGCTCATCACTACACGAGTTCCTTTTCCTACTGCCCATTCTTCACAGAACCCACTGGAATGTAGTATTTTTAAGACTCCTATCCCCTTTTTGTCAAATTTGGTTGAAGCTTGCCAACAGTTTTAAAAGTAAAGGGGTTGGGCACAGGTGGTTTAACGGCACAAACCTCCTCTGCCTGGGATTCACACCAAAAACCTGTGGGTGATCTTGGAGGGTACCAGCAAGCCCCTCTCCCATCACAGGCTAAACCATACAATCATAATGTATTAGTCAGAGTAATTTAGGTTGGAAAGGATCTTGAGACTTCACCTGGGCCAACCCTCTCCTCAAGGCAGGGTCAGTTTGGAAGATATATTAATGTTCTCATTAGCCTCATCCATTTCAGTTCTGAAGAGGAAAAGTCCACAGATAATCTGCTTTCTTTTCTGAAACTATACACAGCCCAATTCACTCATTTAAAGATAATTAGGTGCCCACCTCTGACGAAGGCACCAAAAGCAGAAAAAAAAAATTAAAAAGGAATAAAAAGTGTCTTGAGTCCAAGATTGGCTTATAAAAACACAACAGTCAGAGGAGTTTCTGAAACTTGACTTAATTTCTGTAGGAAGAAGCTGCTGATGAATAACTCTGGGTGAGAATTATAAGCAGCATCCAGAATATTTGACAAATGTATACTCAGCCAGCAGTAAGTGAATTTAAGCAGGCTTGACACTGAAACATAAACTAGGGGAAAAGTAGTATTTTCAAATCCAGAAGCTTTGCAATCCAAAACACTGAGAAGTTTATGGAAAGGATGCAAACTGCAGCACAAGACTGTGAATTTACTGGAAGAGAGGATGCATCCTTATGATCTTCCCAATTCCATTACCCGGTGATATAATATCATTAGGGCTGAGTTGGGCATCACACTACCAACTCATCTGAACATGGTGACTCTAGATTTTTGCATCAGGCAAGCAGAGCATGCAGTCAGACATCTCTTGCACTCAGATGGAGGTGTGGGAATCTGAAGACTTAACTCTCACAGAGTATCTGTTTATCATAATGGTGCTGTTAGCTACTGCAATATCATCGGTTGTTGACCAAAAACTGAAATCAGTTTGGGTATGTGGTAAGGAGTTAAAGAAAAAAAAACAAAACAACCTGGCTCAAAGAACTATACTCATATACAACTATGAGATTCCAGAAGGCAGAGGTGTTCTGATACCTTGCAGAAGAATTCACAGAGGTCAGGAGGAGGGTGGTTGTTTTCCAGCAAAGGTGCAATTGCCTTTAAAAAGAAAGACAAAGAGAAGATTTTTTAATTAGAGGACTACAAGTGGAATAAGCATTTTGCAAGGAAATATTTTCTTGAAAAAAATAAAAGCTTATTTTTTAAAAAGGACAAAAGCCTCATTATAGAAATTAGAGGTAGCAGAGCACACCTCTGCTACGAATCCTCTGGAAAATTTTGCTTTTAACTACATCGGTGTAAACATACAACACACAGCAAAGGCATACAAGAATGATTTAAACAAAAACAGGAGCAGACCAATTGTTTTAGGATGTAATACAGTCAGGATGGATCTGGCTCACTGTTTCAGTTACAAGGCCTCCCTAAAAGAAAAAAATAAAATGAAAACCACCACACATACACACATCCTTTATGAAAGAGTTCAAGCTGGTTTTGTGAGAAATAACTCACTAAAAGCAACCTAGCACTGTTCTTACCTTGGAGGACCCCACTGATCAATATCAAGCATTTAACTCCATGAAAGTTGAGACCAGTCTCTCTTTGTTGCTATGCAAACCAATGTGCTTATGCTCGGTAAACACATTAGAGGTCATACCTGCCACTGAGGGTGTAATGAACTTAGGTTGTTGTTACTTCCTTTGTAAATTAGAAAACAGTACGAGAACAATGTATTCTCTCTACATGATGGTGCCTTCGGGCTTTTCCAGTCTTGAGCTGAAGGGATTCCCAGTACCCATTTAAAAGTAAGGCTCTAAACACAGCAGCTAGGACATTTTGTATTAAGCAACTGAACACCAGATATTTTATCTGACTGGTATCTGGAGTTTTACTACAGCAGCCTGCTTTATTTTTTGCCATCCCTCTCATCTATTTAAGGATTTCAGCCCTGGTGAGTCTACTTGCAAGGACTGTGTTTCACAATAGTCGCTTTCATGCAAAAACAGGTCAAGATCAATGTGAAACCCAAGCACATGTGCAAAGATCTGTTTTGGATGCACATAACATTTGTGAATTCTCTGTTCATTATCACATGCCATCCTTCTGTGACTGTTCCCTCTTCCTCTGGTGAGGGTCCAGCACCAGTGGACTGATGGACAATGTGACACTATTCAGCGACACTTGAATATCCCCGCTCCTCATCCAACACGTGAGCTAAAGATCTTCCTTGAACCCGTCTTTTGGAGCGTTTGCTTCAGGACCTGCCAAAACCACAGAAGCCATGCATTGCAAAATCACCAGATGTTTATACCTGCCCGCTAAGTGTCAGAGGATCACTGCATCAGAGGTGTAACTGGCTGTCTGCCAGCCTAAGAAAAACGAGCTTTATTGTTTCAGAGCAGTCTTTGCTGAATGTAGGGGATAACCACAACAGACACCGTCAAGCAGGTCACGGCTCTGCCTGCACACTCAGAGTGAGAGAGTGACAGCACGGCAGCACCCTGCATTCTCCTCATGCACACCATGGTTAAAAAGCAGAAGCTTGCTGCCACGTGTTGCCCAGTTAGGGTGGCACGTGCTTCCCCTTCCTTACTGGGAAGGGATCAGCCGTTATATTGATCTGTTCCAGCACCATCTAGAGAGGGAAATCCGGTTCCATCTGCATGGCAAATCACTATGTACTTTTAAGATACTACACAAATACACAGTATTAATAATACTTCCTAAGAATAGCACAGGTAAGCTGTGTAACAGCAGTGAGCTCTGTACGCGCAGAAACTGCCGTCTCAATGGTTTGGGCACAACCTACAGGAGGGCAGGACTTGAATAGAAGAAGCCATCACCCAGAATAATGTAGGCTCAAAGGACCTTTGGAAGCCACCTGGCCCAAATTCCCTGCTCTTAACAGGGTCGCTTTACATCTTTTATCACAAAATCCTTCCCCCAAAGCAATCAGTTGTAACTGGCGGTCTGAATTACTCTTGGCACTAGAGTAAAATGAAAGCTACACCAAATCACAAAGAAAAGCAAAAGCCACTTCAGAAACTTATCTCAGTGACTGATTCCAGCTCAAACGGTATCTTAAGTAGCAGTTAAACACAATTCATACCTACATGCCACCTTGTCATTTTGCAGAAAGTCACAGAGATGTGATACGATCAGATTGTGGTGAGGTCCTAGATTAGATTACTGGGAAAATCTCCTGAAAATTGACAGTGACTGAAATAAAATTACAGTCACAGGGAACCAAGTTTTACCTCTCTGATAAATAGTTGAGATTTTGTCTTTTGTTGCACAAGAAAAAGAACTGTGACTTGATTCACTTATTCTGTATCTAAATAAATGCAACCTATAGAAAAGAAAAAAGGCGAAAGGAGGTATTTTTTTTAAATCAAGTAAACGGGGTTAAACTACAGTGACGCATACACATATTCACACATACAGAAACAACAACTTGTTCACATACCATCAGCAACGAAGACATTCTGTTTATGGTAGCATTAGACCCTCAGGAAACTACGAAGCCTAAGGGTTTTATAGGGCACATCTGGAAATGTTTTGGGGCTGTTTAAAGTACATATATAGATATGAACATTGCACTGCGTAACCTAGTAAAGAGGCCATTTGGGGAGACAATTAAGCCTCAACATGCTGTGCTGTTTCACAGAAGTGGACAAGGAAATGTTATTGTTACCCACCTATGAAACAAAAAAAGAGGAATGACAAAACCACATAATAAAAACAGTAGAACAAATGGGTTTGATCCTAAGTTCACCAGCGTTGGTGTAAATGCTTTCACATTTGCCCTGCTTCACCGGGGCTGAGGCAAGCATTTGCGAAGTGTTATCAAACAATACAGACTTGTCTTCAGATTTTGACAGAAAGTTACTCACCACAATAATGCTCTCGTGGTCTTGAGTGGTCAAGTTGTTGTTCTGAAAGAGTTGAACAGAAGAAATGAACGTGTGAAGAATACTCTGAGTTGGCACATGAGCATGTACAGTCCTCTTAGCTACCACCAGGCACAAGCAAAAAGGCTGAAGACTGCAATTGCTTATTTTCAGAATAAATTTCATCAAATCAAAATAATTCTCTTAAAGAAGGTGGCATACTGTTACGAAGGGTTGTGCAAGCTTCTATTCCTCCCTCAGCACCTTCAGATTCAAGCCAGCCCAGCCGTGAAAGCTGAGCATACAAACACAAGGATACCAGAGAAGGTCTCAAGCAGTCAGAACCAAGACATGAAAAACTTGCTTGGCATTACATTTCCTATCCATGAAAAGTTAACTATTTGAAATAGATGCTGTAACAGGAGGATAGATACCTCTGAAGAAGGAAATTGGTATAGGCAGAACATATATTGGTATATCCATACTGCTACAAGAATTTATTGATCTTGGAAACAAAGGCAATGGGACAGAAATCAAGGGCAGTTTTACCACTGACTTGAAATAAGATATGAATCAGACCCATAATAAATTTACCACAATGAACAAAAAGCAAAAAAAGGCCCCAAGAAAAACATATTTTGTTTTGTTTTTAGGAATCGACCTAAGACAGGTCAAATTCTCCTTCTCCCCAGCAAGTACAAATTCCACCCAAGTCAGCAGAAGTCACGAGCGGGCTCAAAGGCAGAATTTTGACAGCCCAAGTTAAAATAAAACCCACCCACAAACATTTTACCTAAATGTGACAGTGTCTCGTGGGAGCACTGCTGAGGTCCTACCTCTGAGAGCAGTTTTGAGACAATCTCCAGTGGTGCTTGGTGAATGGAGTCATCCTGAAGCGGCGACGTCAGCGCCATGTCCACCAGTGTCCTGATCTCCTTCAACACCACCTCCCAACGACCGGGGTTACTGAGCACCTTCTTGTACTTGTAAATCTTTTTCTGCAAGAAAAACAAAAGGGTCACACTGACACTGCCACAAACGCCTTGAAAAAAATGACTGGATATGTGCTTCCTACATGCAACTGTCACACAGGCTGCTTTATATTTTGACTTTTGCCTTTTCTGTTTGCTGAAAAGGTGTACTTAAAACATGTAAATGAAAAAGAAGGCCTCGTAGGTCTAAACAACTTCTTCTGTGGAAGAAATGAAAAACTGTGACTGCCTTTTTCAATTTTAAAGTAAGTTTTTAAACTCCAGAGCATCTTTCCTTCCATCATCTTCTTTCACCAACACCTGATTTCTCAGGCTAACAATGACACCTGCTATTGCACTGCTTCCAAAGCTGCAGGTCCTTTTAAAGGGAGTTATTAAGAAAGGGAGAGGGAGGTGCCATCAAAACATCATTCTACGGATACTTTATTCGACATTGCCAACTGGTGAATTCACATTCAGAATGAATTAAAAGCAATTTCATCAAAGAGAAAAGTTCCAGCAGACCCATAGGGCTTTACTGCAGTCTTGAAAGACCCTCAAAAGCTGTGCAGTCACAACAAAAACTAACTGTAGATTCCCACGCAACAGCATTTTCACTCTCAAGAAAAGTGTTCCTGACTGCCTAATTCCATCCCTCTCAGTGTTCTGCACGCCCCTGCATTACTTGTGGCCATGCTCAAGCTATTTCACCAACTGCCCTGTCCACAGATCCCCTGGATAAACAAAAGACAATTCTTACCTCCTCAGCAGCCATGTTGCCACAAGTGACTGGAACAGTGGCTGGTTTGCATTATAAATAGTATTCTTTAGAAAAAACCCACCCTCTCAAATTCCCAGGGGTGGCTTGATGAAACTCTAGAATTTAAAGGGAACGATGACAAGCATTGAGACGCCGCTCCTAAAAACAACCCAAAGCGTGCACGGGAACTAGGAGAGGCTTGTCAGAGCAGGCAGTGCCTGGCCACGGAGCTGCCGGAAAGTCGTTGCCAGCACCACGGCATTCTGCCAAGTTCACAGGCCCTTCCACTCCTCTCTGTGCGTGAATCTGGTCCTCTGGTCAAAGTGATGTCAACAAGTCTGGATACATCCTCAGGTTTATTAAACATCACAGGCCAAGCACTTCTCTGTTTACATGAAAACATGAGTGTTTTGCACTAAAAATGGATCTTGGGTTCTTTGGCAGCATTTCTTGGGAAATCACAAAAAACTGCCCATGTTGTGCAACTTGCAGATTCAGCTGCACATTTTGGGTTACAATAAAGGCAGAGGACTTTGCAAAGGGTTGGTCTGCTTTGTTTTGTTTTGGAGCTTTGCTGCTCCGCGGCATTTCCCCCTCCACTTGCAGCAGGCAGCCCCAGCAGGAACCACGTGAAGAGGCTGGTTCTCTGCTTATCAGCCACTTCCTTCCCACAGGGGCACCAGACCGAATGCCCAACAGAAAACAGTCACCTCTGTGCCCTACCCGAAACACGAGGGAACAATACAGAAAACCACAGATTTCAGATGCCCTGGGTTTGTCAATGTTGTAGAGGCGTGCGAAGAGGGTGGCACTAGGCTGTCATGTAAAGGCTGATAAAGCAATCCAATTATCTCTTTAATTAAATTCAGTCAAGTACAAAAGCACACTAGCAGTAGCTCATACTTTGAGTGCGTTTTAAGCCACTGAAAAGCTGAAAGAATATAAAAACACATGCTACAGACACTGTCAAATGTGTTTGGGATTTCAGAACTGAGCAAAACTCTTTGTACTTCTGAGGTCCTTGGAGCAGAGAGGGTCCACCGGTGTTCTTAAGCTACCAGCACTGTTTCTACCATCACCACAGACTTCTTGGACTCTTCAGGAAACCTGAATCACAGACTGTAATTTCTCTTATTCAGGTAGTGTCCTTTTTTAGGGCCTTCATGTTAGATCCACTCCAGCACTAAACAAAATCTAAAACTCCAAAGCCAACCAGTCAGCTTTGTAACTTGAAGCAACTCCTTTCTGACTGAGGACAGCAGCTCAACAGATATATTTTCCATGCGGAAATTTATTCCTTTGTCCTGTACTAGGAAGAAATCAAATTCAAAGCAGAATTCAAAGCTGGATTAAAAAGGCAGGGGGGGAACACAAGAGCTAGACCACTGGGTTATTGCATCCCTGCCTGCTCTGGGCTGCCCCTTACTTGGGCGAGTTACAATGGGATTTGGGAGAGCAGCTCCTTCAGCCTAAGGGACAGCTGCTGAAATAAGCCCTCCAGCCTAACAGGACGCTGCTCAGACAACCCTACCGCAAATACCTTTCTTTTGCTGTCAAATCCACTATGGCTTGGGGGGAGGGAGGAGCAAGGGAGGTTTCCTTTCCCTTTAGAGATGTCCATTAAAATTGAGAATTCTGATGATGATGATGACGTACGCAGGAGAAAAGACAGCAGGGGCTGTACTCCCTGCTCTGCAAGGGAGACCTACAAAAGCTGCTGCTCAGCCCAGGCAGACAGAGATTCAAAGGGAGCACTAGGGAACAGCTACCTTTGCAGACACACTGAACGCACCACAGCAAGTCTAAACTTAGCAGCCTCTGCTTCGCATTTGCAGCAGAAAGGAACGCACCATACTGATATACTGAGCTGCAATATGCAAGTGACATTACAGAAGTCTTGAATGATGGTGGGAAAGCAGCAGAAAAATAAATAAATAAAGAGAGGAGCCATCCCCAAGGGAGTTGAACTCTGCTGTCCTGAACCTTTGCCCATGGTTACGCTGCTGTTTTTCTCAGCAGAATGCTTTTCACTGTTGAGCGCCTTGCTGAAAGCTTCAATTAAAGCTTGAAACCTATCAGCCGGTTACAGAAGCAATTTGCTGTGTATCAGCAAGCACTTAGCCAACACCGAGCCATCTGCTCTATTCTACCTGTGTTGACTTCGGAGCAAGGAAAAACAATCACTCAGGAGCTTAAAAGCAAAGCTGCCTGCTAAAGACCCATATCGGAGAACAGGCATGTCAACACGTGCAAGGCATTCGTCCCCCCTGGATGTAGGTGTAAAAGATGCCTTCAGTTGCTGAAAATACTCATATAACATTCATCATAAATAGCATGTGCAAGAAAAATACTGGGGTGGGAATCTGGTTTCACTGGGATTTCGCTAAAAGCAGCAGCTCCTGCAACAATTTATGCAAGTGAAAATAACATATGCCAGCTTGGAATTTGACCCTCGTAGTTACTGACCAGCCAGAACCACAGGGCTCGTGCCATTCCAAAATCTTGCTATGCTGACTTTAAAAGCAAAACCACTGAATTTAATAAGTAGCCAGAAGCAGCAGCATGGGGAATAAGTGACACTGACAGGGCATCCTTCATTCTCAAATCACTCTAATTAATTAAGTCTTGCAGAAACGCAAAGACCTAAGTCTCTGTGCTCTTTTAGAGTAGGAGGAACTCGAGTCCACATGTGAAAAATTACTTTCCCACCGTTATTAAGCAAGCAAATGTGACAAAAATCTGTAAGCAGTAGTTTTTGCCACCTAAAGCTTCAAGGCTTTTGCTTTTTGCTCCAAAGCTTCTGACCACTGCTGAGAACAGAAAGTTCAGGAGAGCCTAGGAAATCTTCAGGTTTTAAAGTAACATCTTCACATGTTTTTCTCTCCCATAATGGCCTCATCCTGCAGCCCTTGCTCATATACCACTTTTTTGGTCAAGAGCGATAACACTGATGTAGTTGAGATCTAAGAAAAATGGACTCTAATGCACAAAATGGGACAGCATGGAACAACTGCTTTTTTCAGCCCTAACATTTATTTCAGCCCATTCACATCAGGAACATCTTAAAGCAGCCGGCGCACCTGATCCAAAAAGGGCAAGATGAAGTTATCCCTGATCCAAAAAGGGCAAGATGAAGTTAGCCTCTTTTGATGACCCAGTTTCATCCTTGCCCTGCTACTAGTGGCCAGGAAGCATTCTGTCTTAGGACAGAACGGACCCTGTCTTCCTGTCAGCAAATACTGTCTCCATTACATAAAAAAAAAAAATCCAGAATAGCTTGTTAAATTCTAGCTCTCTGCTCTTTACCGCACAACTGCACGCAACTAACCACTTTTTTATTGGAGAAACTAGAACTACTGCATGAGCATATGTCGGATTTGAGGGTTGCGTGTGCCAGCAATTGTTTATTTCTTGCTCAGCAACGAGGGCAGTTCCAGCAAAAGGAAAAGGTCAACCTCCCGCACCGAGGTCCTCCCCAGCTCATTGTGGGGATGGCTAAGCCAAGCTAGTGTTACAGTTTAGTGTTGGCAGTATTTCTGTAAAATGGAGGTAACCCTTGCTACATGCAAACATACAGGGGGAAAAAAACAGAGAAAAGACACAGGAATAGTTTTCTCTACTGCATCAAAATATTTTGTTAAGTACCGACAAACAGGATGAGTTTTTTGCTACGTCCAACACACATGCTTGGCTTATCCTACAAAGCCCAGAGCTGTACCATGTATTCTTGAGCACCACCTGCTGGCATTTTGTCTGTTAACTTATTATCTTCACGAAAATAAAGATGGCATAGCGCCCCCAGAACTCAGCTAGATCCCTACTCCGCTTTTAACATGAGCAGGCATCTAGCATTCTGAGAAATACGTAAGAATAACTTGTTGCTAACAGCAGTTTCTCTGAGAGCCAGAGACAGGCTTAAATCACCAGGTGAATCCACTCAAAGCCTTTGGAACTAAGTTCCTACCTGCAACATTTACCAATATGAAGGAATAAACCCCAAAAAAGCAACTTACCTGACAAGATTAACTCTATTAAAAGTCCCATTCCAGGCAAAGGGCTGGGATGAGATTACAGAAAGTTTTCCAAATAAGGGACATCAGACTGCTCATGCTGCAGTAATCAAACTCTTCACGACCTTCCAAAGGTTTTGCACAGAGAGACTATCATGCTGCTCTCTAAAATAGCTGCAGAACAGCAGCAGCAAACTTTTGTACTCTACCATGTTTTCAGGTCAAGGCATTATCTGCATTTTTCATTCTACCTAGCG